ACGAACCCGATCGTGGAAGGAGGGAGAGAGAAGAAAAAGAGGGCGCTCGTTCTTTTGCACATGAACCTTCCGCTTCTCGTCCGCAAGATTCCATCCAGAACGCGTCTTAGAAATCACGACGTCCCCCGGAATCGCGAGGAGGAAATCTTCCGAGTTTCGATTGAACAATGGCTCATGATAATTATAGGCGCAATCCAGAAAAATGGCTCCCGACAAATATCGAAGCTCTACACTGTCGCGGATCAATCACTTCGGGGTTCAGCAGAGCCACAATTACTATAGCCCGACCGCTCTGCCAGGGCTGAAATTTCAAATCGCGGTTACGTGAAACATGCAATCCCAAAAGAGTGAACGAGTCGATGAATCCGTACAATCGTAGACTTCAAGGTGAATTATGAATTATCTCGAGCTCCTAGGCATGACTAGAGCTCCCACTCCGATGATCGGAATCTTATGCATTCGTGTTCAGGATCGCATGCTCAGCCTTCTGAAACGATACCTTCATTCTTCTAATGAAGGTTGTCAACTTTGGTCCCGAAGTGAATCATTCCTGAACAAGGCTCAGACCAAGTTTCGGACGGAGTTCGGACCCGGCGAAAATGTCCAAGCAGAAGTCCGACTCGACTCGGATCCCCAGAATCAGCTGCGGCTTGTATGATGGAACGATTCCGGGCCATGGACTGAAAGCTCGGGAATGTCATCCCCCATCGAGAGCTCTAGAATTGAATCCAAAGAGAATTTCCTATACCGAGAAGTCGCGACCGACGTCGGCTTCCCGTTCCTGAGCTGTTCAAATGGTTCCTACTTTTGATCTACGTCCAGCCGTGCCGAGAGCCATTTGTCAGGACGAAAGCGATGGAAGAAAACGGCCAAATAAATACAAACTCCCATAGCGGGGCCATGGCGGTGGTTCTTAGTAATTCCAGTCACGTGCGAAAGGTTGCCGTCGACGTCAGACCTATGTCTGTCGTGATCGGGTTATCCGCAGCCACTCCCCTGGTTTGCTCTCGGGGTCTCTCGCAGGTACCGATCAAGTACTCGACATACACCGGACGTCTACGGGGCATTCGGAACAGCATGATGGGCAATTAGCTCCTGAGGCTCTGGTGCTTGCGTGCCGCACAGAAAGAGAATGAGGGGAATAATCAAGCGAAGCACGATATCGCTGATTATCTCCGCACACCATCAGTCCTCGATGTCGAAATTCTGAGAATCGCCAGATCGTCAGACAGCATTGCATAGCGAAAAGAAGGTTATGAGTGACACTTTCCGACAGGGCTTCCAGAAAGAGAGCCACCTCGACTGGGACCTCAATTAAATTCGGTCACGAGGTCACGAGAATGGTATCATCCGCTCTCAGCCGCTCGATGACTTGCGTAACTCATTCTCACGATCGGAAAATGGATTCAGGTGCGCCTTGCGAGCTTCCTTAAAGGAGATTCCATCCTCCTCGCCGGGAATGCTGCGAGAGAATTAGTCGAAAGGCCGCAGTGTTCCATACAAAACTAGACGTCGTTTCTGTAAAGCCCTGGCGACATTTCCGCGAATCGACCTGGCAGTCATCTCTATCTCGACTTTCTACCGCTCACGCCTCTACTCTAGAAGGCTGCAATCGAAAGCTAACTCGTGAGAGGAATCGCGTAGCCAGTCGACAAACAGAACACTCTCTTCGACTCAGCTCGTCTCCTCAATCGTAGTTGCCGTTTGCAAGACGTTCGCAGTGGGAGCGTCCGTCTGCAAAACGTCTAGGTACTAGTGGGAAGCGCTTCCTGACCACAGAAACGCCTGCGAAACGTTTTCGCCGATCAGAAGTGCGAGACAATGCGGCTGAAGCCTCTTACACACAGTCCTTTCGAAGAAGGAGCTCTGAATTACGTAACCGAGCATCGGCATGAACGGAACGTTCTGCTTTCGATCGCTCGGAAATTCGATGGGAGAAAACGAAACTCTTCGGCGGGTCGACCGACGGTGACTGACTTCTCAGATGAGCTTGAACCCGAACATTCGAACGATCGGAAATGAGTTCGGGAAAATGAAGAGCCCCCGGGACGGAGGAAAACTAGAAAAACGTTAGCGATGTCTGGATGAATAGTCGAACATCGGAACAGTGCCGACGGCAACAATGATGGTTTCGGGATGTTCTTCTCCCAGAGACTTCAACCCGACCGTCGCGATGACGTTCGTTTCCGAGTGGACGTCACCGAGTCAGCCAGTAAATTATTGCCTCATTCCCTTTCCGAGAGCTCTCCCTCTCTTTCCAAGGAGTATGGCCAAAGAAACAGAAATGAATGCTCGAGACTGGAGCGCTCTTCTCCGCTAATAAATTTCAGAATCGACTACAGCTCAGCTAGAGATCTGCGGTTTTTCCTCACTCAGCGTAACGTTTTCCGCTCTCGCCGCAGCCGCTGAATTCCGCCGTGGAGCTCACAGAGAGACCGTGGCTTTGAATTAGAATACCGGGAGCCGTCTTTGAAACCCCTGAATACATGGCTGCGGCTCGAGAAGCTCCCCGACAGTCTGAACAGTCAATGAGAGCTTGAACGGTCGGTTGCGCGGCTGGCCCGCCACTATTTGGCTTCCGAGCTTCTCAAAGGCCTCGCGGTTGCGGCCTCGCTGCAAAGTGCGAGAGGAAGGTCGTGAGGCCGCGACTGCTGACACTAGAAGGCAAGCCTGACAAGAGAAAATACAATCTTCACTGGGAATTCTCTCCTCTCGCATTTCTGCTCCCCAAAGGCTTTTCCACGCGCGACGTGCAAAAGGCTCGAGATTTTCAGAAGGGAGAACAGAGAGACAAAAATCCGAGGAATAAAAAAGCCGTCATCCACAACGCCCGGTGGAGGCTCGCTCTGCCGTTGGCCTCGATCATCGCGCCTGAACGGGAGCTCTTTCGCGTTCACGTATCCGTATAGTGAGCAACGTTCCGCAGAAGCAGCCGTATCAGTTTTTCCGTCCGTGATACCGCGGAGCGAGCCGCGTGACTAGTCCTCAGCGTCGAACGGTGCCAGACCCGCAAACAGGCCTAGAACATCGGATTCCGATTTTGCATAGCCCGATGGCTTCCTCCAGCGCGGCACCGCTTCGCATAACCTGGATGTGAAACCCGTTTGCTATTCCCAGGGTCCGCAGAAAGATCGAAAGACGCCACTTTGGACGAGCCGCGGTTCCGATAATCGAACTCCTGCGATACGGCTGAATTCCGTCCGGGACACTGCTCGAGACACGCAAAGACTCTGGATCGTGTCAGACAACGACGCGAACGGCGACCGAGGAGCCCTAACCTGGCAAGCAAACGTCCAGATGGACAACCGCAAGGAGCTCCGCGCGGTTCGCGAGACGTGCCATCCACCGCCGACAAGGACGGCATAGAAGCCGCAACAAGTAGACGATGAGACGAGCAATGGAGCGGACTGCCGGTCTGAGTGACACTCGAACGAAGGAGCCCGCGATTTACGTTGTATTGTTCGAGCCTCTGTGCTGGCTGGCGTAGGCACGCAGCGCTTATCCTCGCTACGAACACATCGTCTTCAGTTCGGCCATACAAGGCAGAAAGTTCGGCCTCCCTGGCAATCGTACTGAAAATTGGAAGTCTACAGGTGGGAAGGATATTTCTTTCTAGAAAAGATGATCTTTCGCGAGGAGGCGGCGGGACCCCACGGGACCTGGCGCGGTCCGAGCTCGTGAGTATCGGATGAGTCGGTTGACTTCACTCAATCGAATCCGCCTCGAGCCATCGACCAGTGATCAATCACCCATCAAGCGCATGCGACCATCTCCGGTGAAATGAAAGCGACACCAGCTTCGCCACTGATCTTTGTGCCACTTCGAAAGAGCATTGAGTGTACAAGGTTCACTTGGGATATCGATATCAGTAAGAAAGAGCACCGGGTGAAGCGGCTTGTTCGACGAGACTCGCGGCTGCAACAACTCCTTCAAATTATCTATTCCAGATGGAAGCATTTCCCATGCGAGATTCCAGAAAAGCAGTGGCTCTTGCGCAACAGCTCTAAATGGTTCTCTGCATTGTTCTCTTCCTGTATATCATTTCTGGGTCATTCAATTCCATTGCCATTATATATTTTATGAATTGCCGACCATCTGTCTGATTTTGAGGAATGTGTGAGAAAGTCTCTTCGAGGATTCTTCAGACGGCTACGCGGAATCCCTGATTCCATGGACGTAAATTCCATCAGGGGACGATAGCGGATCTGACAAACATCCCATTCGTTACGAGAGCCGCTCATCAAGTCGTCGGCTCATTGATGAATACGATCAATTCATAGCTCAACACGATCTATCGACGGAGGGATCTTTCGCATGAGATGGACGGATGCGTGAAAGTAGACTTTGCAATTCAATCGCCAAGCGAACTACCTCACATAACGACTAACTCGCCGAGTCGCAATGGACTGTCTCTACTGAACTGACTCACAATGTTTTATGCGTGCGTTCGACCGGACGATTAGGCTCCTAACGGAGACTTGCGAGCTGGCCCTTTTTTTCTCGATTTCCGGAGACCGCTCCCACAACATCGACACTACACCTCTACTTAAAGAAATGCTTTGAACGAGGGTAAACAACGCGGCATATCTTCTGACCCCGCAGCCGGGGTGTCTCCTTCTTTGCGCGAACACGGATGAATCTTCTCCGCGTCTGTCTGTGCGTTAGCTTATTTGTTTGTTTGTTTGCTGCTTAACTGGCGTGCCCGGTCGCGTTCGGATAAGAGACGACAACGATGGAACGAGAGGGGGAGAGTTACTCTACGGGCAACTGAGCGTAAGTGAGAAGCGCATTCGAGTGCGTGACTCACTCAGACAGCCCGAACATCACGATCACTTCGCAGTAAACATCCAATCATTTCGGATCCGGTGTCTCAACGGGTAGAAATTCTTCCCGTAGAGCCCACCCACATGTCGATCCGAGATACCTGTCGAACTTCAGCTGGAATAGCACCGACGGCGATACCGGTAGCCGTGGAAGGTTCGGTCGAGCTACGGACTCACCTGTTTCGATCGTGAGGATCGAATGTCGTATTCATCGCGCTTTCTCGAGGGTACAGAGTTTGAGCGAAAAAACTCCTGAGTCTCGAACGCCCGCAGAAGTATCCAATCGCGAGAGCGAGCGGTCCGCTGCCCTGCTCGAGAGTCTACCAGAGGGTCAAGCAGAGCTTCACACAACTGTCACGGCCGAATCCCAACAAGGTCGATTCGAAACTTTATGTCACTCGCGACTGACAGGTCGGAAATTCCCACGGAACGACTGAGTGACTCCAACCGAGGCACATCCAACACTTCTATTCGCCGATTCCGTTGTTGTTCACGCAGCAGCGTGCTTGTTCACATCCGATTCTCCGCAAGAAAGGCGAAGCCATCTGGCTTTAGAGCACACGCCAGCTCGCCTGCTTCGTCCACAGCAGTCAGCGGACGGGATGCACGATGCCGATCGTATCCGTTCCCGGTGAGCTTCGGGAGCTGTCACGCTCCTCGAGGTTACTCGATACACTTTTCCTATTGATAATTCAATTCCCGATGGTTTCTGTACGTTCGCAAGAAGTACCACACTCGATTGTTCCGACGACAACACAGAGCAGCGACGTTCTTCCTTCTCTCAGCGCCGCCGCACAAAATGGCTGACAACGACAACAACAGAACAATTCCCACAGCTGATACAGAGGTCGCCACTGTCGCAGAGGTGGCGCTGCGTTTGAAAAGCTTCAGAGGCGCGCTGCCGGCCCTCTCGATGCGCTTCAGTCGAATCTCGAGTCCGTCTCTTAGATTGGAAGGTTTCAATCGCTTGTGATCCTTCGATTCCAACAGCAAGGTCCGGTGTCGTGTCGAGTGCACTCTAGTTTCCACTACCACGGAGATTCATCGCAGGGGAATCTATCGAACTACCAGAGGCTGCTTCTCCGGTGACGCTCTAAGCGGTGAGTGGAACTTCAGCTTCCGGCGTCTCTGATACCGAAATACAGTAGATCCCCCTGCACAGTGCTCGGCTTCGAATGCTCGAAATCTGGACTCCTTGCTCTGTGAGCTCGAGGCTGCCAACATTGGGCTCAGGCAATTTCATTGGCATACCTACTTTCGACCAATGAATCGGTCACAGTGAGAGTGAATCTTCTCAATCCATCTGAGATGAGATTAGGCCAGCTCGAGTGCGAGACAATCCCGGCTTGACTTCGAGATAAACAAACTGGGGCTCCGAAGGATACTCGCGGTAACGTTCAGCTTGTGGAATAATGGCGCGTTTTCTCGCTCGAAAAATATTTCGGTTTTGGCTCCTCCAGCTGGAGGTGGACAGCTTCAAAAATCGGCTCATTCTCCTGAGAATGAACCCCGATCGATTCAGTGTGACCGATGATCTCCGCGCTCGAAAACGGTTCGACTTGAGCGGTGTCCCGCTATTCCGAGTCAATCGCCGTCGTGGGTGTCGCTGTTGTACCTCCGGCACCCCGGTCATCGTCCGGCACGGGGGTCGAACCATGACACCGTTCGAGGTTCAGAGATCGAGTGCAGCCGACTCCGGACCGGGTTCGCTGCTCCAGGGACTCGGAACTTCGCTAAGCTGAAGTAAAATCACCCTGGACCTAAATCGGAGGATCCCCCTTAATCGCGAGGCTGAATACGAGTGGTCGCGAGAATCCGCATTCGAATTCTCGCGCGCTCCCTGTCGTCGCGATCATCATCTCCACAACAATTCTGTCGTCGTCTGAAGGGACATGACGGTTGGTAAACAAACGTAACAGTGATATTCGCTGCGTTTGACGAGACGCGAAGGATTCCAGTTTCGGATTCCCTCGCTTCAGAGGAGCAAAACCAACAGGTTGGTTCGGCGCTCGGATGAATTTGACGAGGTGTTTTCTGCTTGACGGTTCCCAGAAGGCGATGAACAAACCTCTCGGGACTCAATCAGAACTTTCGGATTCACTACAGCTGTAATTGCAGACGCTTGCACCACTCGAGAAGAAGATCGTTGAGACATTTCGACAACTGGCTTCCGTTGCGGTCGCTTCATGTGAAATCCCGAGAATCCCGAATGAGGTCTCCGATTAAGATGCTGATGACTCGGTTCTCGCCGTGAACGGTCGCTACTGATGGCCGGCAGAGAGAATTGTGGTCGCAAACGCTTACTCGAAGACGACGCAGAGCTCCAGCCCATCTCGAAGCGTATCAATCTGATACAGATAGTTGACGAACGATCTACGAGCCCTACGAGTTCTTACGAGGCTCGAGGTGCCAGCGTCATCGAGATCAATCCTCACTATATTCAAATAAACACGTTACTAAATCAAGCTCATCGCGAGAGGATGCTCCGTCGTGGAGGTTGGTTGATTGAGAGCGCGATGATGGGACATGGCGCCCATCTCGACCCGATTGCCCCTAAGTATGCCCCCATGCGAAGGCTCGGCATCGCTTTCGACCGTATTGAAGTTTTTGGGCGACCTCGAGCCTATATCTCTTGCTCAAACACCATGTACATCGGCGTAACTTGCATGTGCCGATGTTGAGAATATTGCGAGTTGAAATCTCGGACACGATTCATTGGGAACTTCCCATCTAGCTGAATGGGGGCATTCAGAACTTTCGGAGCCTGATTGACCCTCAGTATAACTCCGGAGTATAAAGTCATAGAGGAGAGGAGATAATTCAAAGTTTTTTTCTTTCATGCTGCAGGCTCTGAAACGCATCCAGGATTTTAAAACCGAAGGGGAAACCTGACTGCCTAGGGCAAATCGATCCCTTTGCTCAGGTGGAGGACGAGGCATGGATGCATACCTCGACAGGGATAACAATCACGCCGCCCTGGATTCCTACGCAGTTTTCGGTTCGGATGCTGAAGAGATCGACTCGGACGAATCGAGACAATCCACATTTTCCTCAGTTTCGACACCAACCGTTCGAAGTGTCGACCCAAGCGAGGAAGCTCCATACGAGAGATACACCGCATACTCTCTAGCAGCGACAGACGGGAGCGCTCGCGGTTCGCCGTTTTCCGGACGCTCCTTCTCTAGTCCCCCGTCCAGTGTGTTCGATGAAGGCTCCAATCAAGTAGACTGGTTGCCGCACCTCTTGTCTCCGGTACATGTTCCCGTTTTGCAAGAAATTCACACCCTTTTGGTGAGACATTTGCTGGAAATTGGTCCCTTTCCGCTCGAAAATCGAGTTCGAATGGTCCTACGCAATGAATATTTCCCGCGAGTGTGAAAACTTCTAACGCTCCTTCTCTTATTCCGTTCAGACCTCCAACGATCAGATGAGCGCCAACGGCGACGAAACCGTCGACGCATCAAGTGACGAGGATAACGATGAGCAACGACGGATGTGGCATCGTTTGGGAGAAGAACAGAAAATGAAGCGGAAGCTCGAATTCCCAGAATGCAGTAGTGAGTTTTCTGACGAATTCAGTCTCTAACGGGAACTGATATCGAGGGTGTAGGCGAATACTGTGGAATGAAGGGAATTTCAACTCATTGATTTCGACTCAATCCTGATCGTTCTCCCAAGGTTCTGCGAAAAGGAGTTGTGATGAGCCGAGTAGTTCAAAAGAGGGCCAGGAAGAAGCCGCGGAAGCGAAAAAAGAGGAGGAGGAAGAGCAGTCCAGAATCGCGGCGTGCTCAGTGTGCCTTGAGGATATCGATGAAGGAGGGGAACACAGACTCGTCGCCCTGAAATGCGGGCATCCGTTCGGAGAGAGCTGTGTCAAAAAGTTCGTCTCGGAATCAATTGAGCAGCCATCTTGTTCCCCGTTCGTGAAGCATTCGCCGTCTGTGTCCAAGCTATCCTTCAATAATAAACTCCTTTCTTGCAGGTGGTTGCAAACAGTCAAACAGTCTTGTCCGCTGTGTAATCGGCGTGCCAAATCGACCGACATCCGAGTAGTATTCTTGGATTGTTTCCGACTCGGTTCTTCGTACGAGCTCGCCGAAGCGAAAAGAGAAGTGCTCGATCTGCGCACGGCCACCGCACAACAGAGATCGATAATGCGCGAAATGGAGCTTCAGCTCGGGTCTCTCAAAGCAGAAAACAAAACGTTGTCAGATAGACTCCGAGCCTTAGAGAAAGGTATTCAAGTCAGAACGCCGTATTCGGCGGAAGCCTATCCGAAGTTCACGTTCCCCAGTGAGTCTTCGTTCACGCGTCTCAGTGGTCACTGCAAATACATGGCCGTTGGTGGGGAAAGTCTCGATTTAGTGGCGGTATCGATGAAGCCTTCGGGTGGCTTGTTCGACGGCTATGGCGTGGAGATGTGTTCCCTCTACGACCTGAAGAGCTCCCGCCGAGCGAAGATCATACACAGACAGGAGATCAAGGATCTTGGCTTCCACCCGTCCCCTGTGTATCCGTGGCTGCTTACGGCTTCCTTCGACAACACGGCGCGGATCACCGATGTCAACCACTTCAACTTCAGCAACGTTCAGACAATCCAAGCGGAGTCGAAGGTCTGGTCTTGCTGCTGGAGCAAGAGCAATCAGACAAACTTCTTCCTAGGATTAGCGTCGGGCGCCATTAATGAGTACGACACTCGCATGCCATCCGAACCCGTTCATGTTCTGAGGAACCAGGCGAACAGATGTCCGGTCGTCTCGTTAAGAGCATTCGAAGTCAGCAACCTAGGCTCTAAAATAACAGGCAAGCGAATTCTAACACAGCGATTCATGCATAGCCTTCGCCGCGTCACAGACAAACGATCCCATCGGGGGCCTCGAACCGTCTCTCCCCTTGCGTTCGCGTTCGTTTAACGTTCGCTTACCCCACAGGCATCTTAAGTCCGCAAGCTCGCTGCTCGATCCGCATATACAAAGAGGATTCGCAAGACGAAACGGGCTACACCGCTCGAGATTTCCCGGTGTCGGGTCACTGTTTTTCATTGTTCTTCGACAAACAGAGCTCTTCGGTGCTAGTGAGCAGCCGTCAGCGCAGCAGCACTGTTCTAAATGAGATCTGGAAGCTCACGGCTCAGGGAAATGAGATAACGCCAACGTTCCGGAAAAACTTCAGATCCGGCGGTTCCGCTTCGGTGATATCAAGACCAATAGTTTGTCGAAGTGAGTTCGCTTTCTGAGGGCCGATAACCGACCCCCATACGTTATGCTATCAAGCGCCTATTATTTCCCGGGCTGACATGGGCCGGGAGAGCTCCGTAGCGGTGGCGATTTTCAGAAATGAATCGATACGCATCAGGATTTCACACTCATTTTCTTGTCTCGGTTTCAGCTCCAGCGGATGAGGCGTGGGCCTGCTGTTTGGACGATCGGGGAAAATCGATTCAAATTTATTCCTGCGCCGACGGCGGCCTCCGTCATATCTTGGAAACACGCGATCCCCAGCATGAACAAATGACACAAGTTGCGAAAATAAGGTTGCCTGGAAGATCTCAATTCGCCCTTCTCGGATTGTCCCTGTATGGGCTTTCGATTTATCATTGAGCTCAATGAACTGATGCCAATGTTGAAGTGATATATCCGCAATCGAGACCAAAAAACATGTCGTTTATCATCGAGCTCCATCGTCAGTTCACGAAATGAACCACAAATTCTTTGCATCGTCATGGATTCCTCAGAATTGACATCTTGTGACGTCTGGAACAGTTGAAAAAAGCGATTGTTTTCCTGAACATCTTTGCATTTCCATTGGTCGACTTCCGAATATTCCCCGCATTGAGGGGGTCTTTTAGCGCGGAATCAATAAAACTGGATTCTGGTTTCAATTTCCCACCGGCCTTTCACGCGAATAAGGGGTCCCCTGTTTCTAGGTAGCTCGCCTCCATAGATACCTCGAGCTGAAAGCTGGAAACCTCGCTATGTATGTTGTCCTACTCACCCGTTATCGTACTCCGACCAAAGGGATCTCCTCTCTGGGCTCTTCGGCGGAATATACGCTCCGTAGGCGACGTCGTTCGTGGCAGCACCAGCAAGGGCTAACTTCCACAACTCATCGTTGCAGTTGCACACACCCATGATTATATCTTGCACCTGGCTCGAGTCACCCGCTCTCGGGAACGTGTAGAGACTTTGTGAAGAATGCGTTCCGTCAATAGGTCACGAGGTGCATGAGAGGAGTAAGAGCGACGAGGGAAAGCCGGATGAAGTGAAGGTGCTCCGACAAGACCGCGATGCTCGATGAGGCGGAACCTGTAATTGGACTATCGGGGCCACTGATTCCTGCATCGAGCGCCCGCTTGCCACCGATCCAATTGTGTCGATGATTCCATTCTGTGCCGCTACCGATCACCCCGTTTTGATTATCTTCCGGGGATCCTCGAAATCGAAATCTGTGCTCGACCGGATTCTACAGCGGCGCGGGCGGCTGCTCCCAAGATCGGTCCCTCCATTTCGGGGATCCGTATCAATCAGCCGCCGCTGGAAGGCTCCAGATTCGCGGATGGTCAACCATCTTCCAGACTTCGAGCTCCTGGGCCCCAAATCCGATATTCGAAATCGAGTATCTCCCCGCGCTCGTCGTAGAATCGTCTGCTCGGACTTTTCAGAGAACCGTTATTCGCACATTTTCCCGCGTTGAAGCTTCTTCGAGGAATCGAGGAGCGAACTCGAATTTCGTTCCGGTAGTAGCTTATGGTTTGCATCGACGCTCTAACTCGAGACGGGAGCGCCGTGCTATGGGATCTCACTACGCGATTTTGTGTGTCGATCGTAATGTCAGTGGCCCAGACCTAAGATCGGCATACCATAGACAAGCTCGCAAGTGGCATCCAGGTGAGCCTGCGGGGGCTCGTCGCTGGGCTCTGGAATGCCCGGATTCGGCTTGAAAAGCCGCTTTCGCTCCAGTGCTGCTCATTTCAACGGAATTAAGATCGCCGGACTTTCAGATAAACACGCCGGTGGGGAAGAGCACGCAACCGAAGTGTTCAAGTCGATTAGTTTGGCGTACCAGGTACTCTCGGATCCTGACACTCGCGCACGGTATGATGAGAGCCTCGCGATCGCTGCCGCACGGCATTCCACGGAACAAGAGCCGAGCTGGAGGAGCGCTCCCGCAGATCCTGGCCTGTCAGACCTCGACATGGTAAGCTCCTTGCGTCGTCAGTCTTGGCTCTGAGAGACAGAAGGTGTTTGACTTCGTATCCAACCTATGAGTGATGAATCTCATTTTTTCTCTGTGAGTGAATGAAAGTCTATTCTCGATTCCAGGGTTTACTTGGCGTTCTCATCGATGTCCTGGATGATGTATTCGAAGTCGCCTCAGAAGTCTTTCTCGGTCTTGTAGATTGGCTATAATTGTCGAACTTCCTCACCCAGAGACACCGAGAGTCGAAAAGATGGGGAGATTCTACTCGACTCAAGTCTCTCCCGAAACATGCCAGTACTCCCACCACCCGCCCTCGAGGATTGCGATCGTCTGTTTATAACCGGAATAAATATGCCCTCTTGGAACAGGTCTTCGCGAATAGTCGATCTGCTCGAGTTTCCCAGCTTGTTGGAGCTGTCTCGTCGGCTGCCTAACCATCCACTCTCCGGACCGCGATCAGATTTTTAGGCATTCGTGGAATTGAGTCGGATATCGCATAATTCATCTTCACGTACCGAAGCCAGTGCTGTGCGCCGTATCCAGAATGCGGCGCGCGGCGCATGGCACCATGGCGCGCCGGGGCGCTTAAGCATTGAGTCTATGGAACTTGCAATGCTCGGCGCGGCGCACAGCTCTGACCGGAGCCGTGCGCAAGCAGCTCCGGGTCGAACAGAGGGTCAGCCATCACCTCCACCGATTCGGTCCTAGACGTGTGAACTTCTTGCATCGAAATACGTCCGATACAGTTCAGTAGGTTGTGGATTGGACATTTCTTGGACGGGAACGCACGGGAACGCCTGGAATGTCTTGTGCCGCGGATTCCCCCCTCGACTTCCATTCGGGAGCCCAGCGCCTCTGCCTGAGGATATCTTTATTTGCTGACGCTTATTTCAAACAAAGGCGCGAGTCCCTCCATTTGGACCAGCGATATCTATTCAATTCAGGTGGGGCATCGGGCATCATTAATTTCTAAAAATCATCTCTGACTCGGTTAGGGAGCTCCCTGATAGGCAAATATGAATTCCATTCAATGACGCACGCAGGATTGTACATTTTTTGCTGACTGAATTCAGAATTTCCACACTTCCTCCTTTTCTGATTATGAAGCGACTCGTAGCGCTTCGCGTAAATTATATTAAAAGGGCACGTGTGTGACTTGGTTCGGCCGGAGACCCCGTCAGGCTCAACATGGGCAGCTGTATGAGAAAAATCAGGACCCCCAGCCTGAGTGAGAACGCATTGGTTGATTTGATCGAGGATACAAAACTCAATCACAATGTTCTCCAGGGTTGGTACAAAGAGTTCATAACTCTCTTCCCTGAGGGAGTCGCTCGTGAGGAGGCATTCGTTGATATTGGATGCAAGGTACGGAGCTCATGGAAATATCCGAGGCGAAATCGCCTTGGGCCTAGAGTCTAGAGTGACGAGTGCGATTCCGATCAAGCTCTCCCTTGGGCCCTCGGGCATTGATCTGAGGGACCGTCCGGAAATCTTGAGTCTCAGTTTTCAAGTACCGGGTTCTACCAATAATTATGATCGATTAAATCCATCGAATAATCGAAATATCTCTGGCGGGTCTTATGCACAGCGATCGTTCCCGACGATTTTTGAATTTCAGATTCTTCTCGGAGGCGATCATTCCCAACCTGAAGATCTTATGAAAATCATCTTCAACTTCCTCGCCGAGACCGATGAGCGGGTGGTCACGTTTAGGAGACTCGCCGGGTTCTTATCGATCTCTATTGTCGGGACCATTGAAGAGAAGATCAAAATGGCGTTCCAGCTACTCTCCAACAGACAAGAGTCAGGAATGCCTTTGAGATGAGATATTAAATATTATTTATCCACATTTATGCAGGTAGTCTCCTCATGGTCCCGTTCCTTCCAGCCATTTCGACTACAAGTCTTTTGCTGCCGTGTTGGATGCTGTGCGGAAGATGCGCGGTGAGATTTCCATGCCATGCTCTTTGCAGGACGCCTTCATCGCCCTCTCCGATCGCAAAGCCACCGTAGATCTACACAGATTCAGGTGAATTCAACTGGGAGCCTCAATAATGAGCGAGCTACTCCCGGTTCGCGATAGAATGCACAACACCCCTCCCAGAGCTCTTTTTCCGCTCCAGAGATGTGATGAAGAGGAATCCTCAGAAGATTCGAGAAGTTGCCTCTAATTACGATGCGATGAGAGCGGCACCCATCCGGGTATACCAGTGAAGAGCTCATTGGAATTCCTCGGCTGAATAAAAATCATCTGGTGCACTATAGTACTATAGAGCTTCGCGTGATGGCTCGGTGTCTAACCCGATGCCAGGACGACACAGACTCCGAATACCACTGAGAGGCCCCGTCTCGGTCGCCTTCGATCCATTCTCTTTCGTTTCCGAGTCGCGAGTTCGTCTTCAGCTACCGCTTTCGCTGCCAGGAGCTCATTCGTTGGGGCCTTGGACCTTTCTACCGCTTGAGTCTTCCTGCCGCCGTGTCCCGCGAACCGCGCGCGCTGCAGCAGATTCTCGGCACCGAGTCGTCTGCTAGTATGCGAGAAACTGAGTGAGGAATCGAGCCGAATCCCGTTCGCCCTTGTTGACAAAACAAGACATTCGATTTGAAGTCCGATCCGTGTCAATTATTTCGAAATTTACCTGATGAGATAAATAACAAGCAGTGACTGCTTGTTGCGACCCATCATCCGATTCGGATCCGGGGGGCCCTCGTTCTTTTCCGCAATCATGGCCGATCTCCAGTGGGTAAACGATGAGCTCTATTCCGTTCTTGGCATGAGCGACCGTAATGCCGCTGAATTTCTTCTTTCGATGGCGAAAAAATCCGATGGCGTTGAAGATCTTCTCGAACGTATCCGTGACACCGACACCCTGGACACCAGTTCTGCTGAGGTACGTTCGAGCACAGGCCATGAAGACACGAGGTCAAGTTCTCGCGTTCGAGATATTCTCATCGATGATGTAGATATTCCCACAGATCGATAGCTGACTTGAATAGCCCACAGATGAATAGCGACTCGCGATGGGGTTTCCGCGCGGAATTAAAACACGTACTCTTCAGGTACGCCGATTCGCCTCCCTTTTGATGGAACGCGTGCCAGGACGAGCCAGAGGTCCATCAGCGACGTCACTACATCAACAGAAAGTGCAACAGGTAAGAAATTTCTTTTTTCGGTCGGATTGATTCCTAGCTCATCTCGTGAGAGCATCCCGGCTGTGATAAAACTTTCCGAGTTTCTGCGTTGCAGTACCTTCAGAAAAACAGGGAGTACACTTTATTGGAGAGCAGTGAAGATGAAATCCCCATAAAACCTGTGGTGAAAAAGAAGAGCGCGAAAACCAAGAAAAAAGATGAAAAGAAAACGCCCAAGAAGCCGGAGGAATCTGAGGACGAGGAGGACGAGGAGACGGAGCGCTTACGGGACCTTCAAGAACGGGACGCATTCGCGAAGAGGCTCCTCGAAAAGGATAAGGCAAAAACCCGTAAGGTTGCTACTGCCAACGATAAGAAGTCGTTCGAACGGGCAGCGAAGAGACTCAAACTCGAGAAGGTGAACAGGATATCATCGATGCCTAACGATATATGTCTGCCGGTATTCGGAGTTAGAGATCCGCATCTAACCGAATAATTCAATTTTTTCCAGGAGGACCGAGAATCAGTTCTGCCGAAGTTGAGGATCGATTCACGACGACAGTACCTCGAGAAACGTCGAGAAGACAAATTAGTCTTGCTCGAGCAGGACATCGCGGACGAGGAGTTCTTGTTCGGGGATCAGAAACTCACGGAGAGGGAGAAGCGCGCGTTGGAGGAGAAGAAGAGACTGCTCGAGATAGCTAAAGCTCACGAGAGCGCCAAGGAATTGGAGCGAGTTTCCAGGTGAGATGCGGATCTCAGGAGTTGAGTGTTTTCTCACGAGACCGAGGTGGATGCGAGACATCGGGGAGCGTTGCGCTATTCTTCCAACGCCGGCGCGAGGAGAAATTCCGATCTGGCCGCAGTGGACTCTTCGGGGATTCGACCGCGGAAGTATGAAGCCACGAAGGCGCAACCATTCTGAGCCAGCCGGCCTGTCTGACGTACCCGATGCATTCCGTACTGGGAGCGCCGAGAAAATCACATTTTCTCCGGAGCTGCCCTCCCGCAGAGGTTAGAGCGCGGCTCGCCGGCTCAGAAATCCGCTGTCGATCGATCGAGGAACGAGCGACGAAGTCATGCCCTGATGCTTGTCTAGAATATTTTCCTTTGTAAGGACTTCTTCGTAGGTACGGGTCGCTTGCGATTGGTCCGGTTCTGGGATGCCCGTGAAATACAATAGTAGTAGCCCGATCATAGCTCAGCGAACTCAGAACATCAATCTCAGTAACCTCTCTTCCCAGATACGTGATGCCAAAGGACAACAAAGTATCGACATACGTTGAAGTTGACACGAAAGAGAAGGCTCCGAACTCGGAACAGCTGAAGTGGGAGGAGGAGCGGCTCGCGCAAGCGATATTCACTTCAGGAGCGAAGAAGAAACAGCAAGCCGAGAACTATGATGAGAAGTACAAGCTAGTCATCAGCGATCCCATAGAATTCACGAAAGCGTTCACCGAGGCCGGCTCAAAGAACCAGGAATCGGCCGAACCGGAGCTGTCACAAAGAGAGAAGAAGAAAATGTCGATTCAAGAAGTACGGAAATCATTGCCAGTGTATCCCTTCCGGGACGAGCTCCTGAGAGCCGTCGAAGAACATCAGGTCCTGATCGTAGAAGGTGAAACCGGCTCGGGGAAGACGACGCAGATCCCTCAGTATCTCTACGAAGCCGGCTACACAGGGGGGAAACAGAAGATGAAAATAGGCTGCACTCAACCCCGAAGGGTCGCAGCCATGAGCGTCGCGGCTCGGGTGGCTGAAGAAATCGGAGTGAAACTTGGGAACGAGGTCGGTTACTCGATCCGTTTCGAGGACTGCACCTCTGAACGCACAGTGATCAAGTATATGACCGACGGGATGCTCCTCAGGGAGTTTCTTGCCGAACCCGACCTGGCAAGCTACTCGTGTCTTATCATCGATGAAGCTCACGAGCGGACGCTCCATACCGACATCTTGTTCGGATTAGTCAAGGACATAGCGAGGTTCCGATCTGACCTGAAACTGATCATATCATCCGCGACGCTGGACGCCGCGAAATTCTCTGAATTCTTCGACGACGCTCCGATCTTCAAAATTCCCGGCCGTCGCTTCCCGGTCGACATTTACTACACGAAAGCGCCGGAGCCCGATTATGTCGATGCAGCGGTCGTCACCGTTCTGCAGATTCACATCACGCAACCTCTCGGCGATATCCTGGTTTTCCTGACGGGTCAGGAAGAAATCGAAACGTGTCAGGAATTGCTCCTGGAAAGGACGCGGAAGCTAGGCTCGAAAATTCGTGAACTCGTGATCCTCCCCATCTATGCTAACCTACCATCGGATATGCAAGCCAAAATCTTTGAACCTACTCCGCCGGGAGGGCGCAAAGTTGTGCTAGCGACGAACATCGCCGAAACCTCGTTGACTATCGACGGAATTATTTACGTTATCGACCCCGGTTTCTGTAAACTGAATAGTTACAACGCGAGAACCGGAATGGACAATCTAACGGTAGTCCCGGTCTCTCGTGCTTCGGCGAAGCAGAGGGCGGGCCGTGCTGGACGAGTGGCTGCCGGGAAATGCTTCCGTCTCTACACGTCATGGGCTTACGAGAACGAGCTGGAGGAGAACACCGTTCCTGAAATCCAGAGAGTGAAACTGGGCAATGTCGTCCTCATGCTCAAATCTCTGGGAATACACGATCTGATGAATTTCGATTTCCTCGATCGACCGGCACATGAAGCCCTGGTCCTCGCTCTCGAGCAACTCTATGCTTTGGGAGCCATCAATCACGTCGGTCAACTATCGCTCTTCGGACGTCGAATGGCCGAGTTTCCGGTCGACCCGATGATGGCGAAAATGATACTCGCCAGTGAGAAATACAAGTGCTCAGAGGAGATTCTTACAATCGCCGCGATGTTGTCTGTGAATTCTGCAATATTCTACAAACCAAAGGACAAGGGAGTTCATGCTGACACGGCTCGGAGAAACTTTTTCCAAGAGGGCGGGGATCATCTGACTTTACTCGCGGTGTACAACCAGTGGGCCCAGACGGGCTTCTCAACGCAGTGGTGAGGAAGATAGAGATCTGATTTCGCTATTTTGTTTCGTCGGTCATACTGTGCTTCTGATATCCATGTGGGTGCTTCTAACGTGGCCGTGATAAGGGAGATTTCAAAATTTTCAGGTGCTATGAGAATTACATCCAGCATCGGTCCATGCGGCGGGCAAGAGATATCCGTGACCAGCTGGAAGGACTCATGGAACGGTGAGTACTTCACCGAATTGTTTTTAATTCACTCAATGATTCAACATAAATTGAAGTTCGATTCGAGAAGAATCCATCCGGAGTTCGGCTGATGACGTACGAATCGCGGCGTTTCAGAGTGGAAGTCCCGCTGATCTCCAGTAATGGAGACTCTGTCGCTATCCGTAAAGCCATCACCGCGGGATATTTCTATCATACGGTACGACTCTCTAAATCAGGACATTACAAAACAATCAAGGAACAGCAGACCGTTTTGATCCATCCAACGTCCTGTCTCTTCGAAGACTTACCCAAATGGATTATCTACCACGATTTAGTGTTTACGACAAAAGAATACATGCGTCAGATCATTCCCATCGAGAACAAATGGCTCTTGGAAGTTGCTCCGCATTACTATCGAGCCAAAGATTTGGAGGAGCAAAAAATGCCGAAGCGTCGGAAGTAGGCGCCATTGTACATACTTTATGGAGGAAAACTCGATGAGAATTCAATGTACATGATTTATGGGTCTGGAATTCAGAAAGTTTTGTGGATCTTTGTATATATTTGTGTGCTCCTCGAATAAAGCTTGAAGCGAGTCAATCGAAGGCGAGCTAGTATCATAAAAAAGAGGAACATCGCCTAACTTCCTTACATCGTTTGGATATTTGGGCCGAGCACCGTCGAAGCGGTGTCGCGCGCACTATTCCCCAGCTCAGGAAGCGCGATCGAGTTGAACCATTATTCGTTTGTATGTCCTTCCGAATAGTCTTCGAACATCTGGTCGTACTCTTCGGAGGCCGATGTGCATGCGCTTGAGTTCAAGTCCGCTGCTAACTCGAACTTGCTGATGCCGATGGACTCGTCGAATCGAGTTTTCCCCTATCGTATGAGAATATGATGAATGATAGGAAGTTGAACTTTCGGTGCACCCAGATTCTGCCGCATCCTAGCTCAAGGGGCCGGGCGCACCCTCCATGGGAAGCTCATGTCAGATGAAAGCCGGGCACTGAACGTCGAGAAATGAGATTTTGCCGAGCTCATATCTCGTACCTTACCTTACCCCACTTCGCGTCTTTCCGCAATTCGGCTCTGAGCCCAACAGTGCGCCCACCGCGTGAATCCTAGACTCCTTGTACCGAGAATTGACGAGGAGTGTAAGTTTCCTCTAATGATTGCATTCCAGGGCTGTATAGCGCGATTGTCGAGTCCGTATCGAGAAGACAAGGAAGAATCCGATAGGGGCCCAATGATGCGACTTGGCTCTATGTAGTCTTACGTAATTCATACAGAAACGTCTCCCTCTAGTTCGTCGGGGACTTTTACGAAGGGTGGCGATGTATGATTAGAAGCGGACGAAATATCTGATAGAATCCTCTGATCCTGAGAATGTTCCCAAGCCGACCCTGATAGAAAGGCAAGTTTCGTGTTACAAACGGGGGAATCCTCTCCCTGACTGCACCTAGCGTCCAAAGCAGGAACAACGCGGCCTTATTATGTAAGCGGCGTCAGAACGCCGGTGCCATTCCAGATGTCATGTTCTGAAGCAACATTCGTCGAAGCGCCAGGAACAGAACGTGAAAGCATCGCTTCGGCTTCAACTCCAGACGATCGACTCCGCTGAACTTGGAGTTGTACCGGTCGCGGTCCTGCAAAGTCGCGAATTCATCTGTGTTCAAACGAAGGCGTTGCGGAGTCTGAAGTCTCCTGTCATCACGGAGTACCTCATCATGTTCAGTGAAGGCACACGATGCTGAGTTTCAGTTGTGATCCGTCTATTCCCAGACTTCGGTGGTCGAACTCCTACATTGGGTCACGATGTCGTCTGTGATCGAAGTCCGTGACGGGACAAGTATTGTGCGCATCCGAGGAGCACAGGGATCAATAGTCCACAACGGGGTGAAACCCCAGGTGAGCAATTTATTTGAAGTCCGAGCATCGAGCTCCAGGAGCTGAAGCGTCCTGAGCCCCCGGGGTCCTCCATGGAGCCTGGTCGAGGCGGGGAAGCAAACTTAAGGGACTTTCGGCCTTGGCGCCGACAAGAGGATTCTGAAGCGCGCGTGTCGAGAGGATCGTCCGTTCCACGGCCTTCCTTTTGATGGAATGCTGGGCTGATCCTCCGGTGATGCGGAGCTGTCTGCAGCTTGTGCATGCATTGATTGAGGAATTCACGGCCGTTATCGGCTGACATCATTCATGGGTCATGAATCGAGTTGAGATCGATCTTTCATTCCCGAACGACTCCGGAAATCGCTGCTCCTGCTCGCCTCCACAGCACACTGCTTCAGTCCGGTGAGATTATCGTCAAGAGAGAGCGCCGCTTGGTGATTATCCGAGAGATTCGCTGCTCTAAGCGGACAAAGTGGAGCGGGTCGGACCCCCGCAAGTGAACGACATCAGATCGATCGATCGACTGACCGACCGTCCGTCATTTTTCTTTCTTAGACCGACTGTTCGTCAGTCAGTCAGTAAGAAAGCCAGACGGACAACCGGTCAGTTCAGCCGGCTTCACTTTGACTGTCGTCTAGCCATCAGTATGAGACGGAGGCTTGGCCGCTGACGCTATTTCCCAAAAACTGTCGATACCAAACAAAACTTTCACGACATTGGTTTACGCCACATACGTCTGGGTCAAGGCCACTATGCGCTAAGTAAAGAAAAGGGAACGTAAGAGCGGGCACGCCGAAGCAGCAGCGAAGAAGTTGCTTTCGGGAGCGGCAATCGATAACGACATTTTATTCATACCGCGTTATATTTACCGCCGCCGCCAGCAACAATTATTATGGATTTGAAGTTCGTGCACAGTCAGGGGATATTCCCACCCTATCGAAGCGCTCCCGTGCCATTTCGAACGGTAAGATAAGCGAGCCTTCAGATAAGACGACTTGTGCCTGAGAGATCCGAAGCTGTCCTGTCGGCGCGATCTTTGGATCGAATCTAGGGTGATTAGTCAGATTGGATGTACCGTTTAGTCCGGCGACACATTCGAGTCGACTTGCTCTGACGCGTCGTTCATTCAATCTATATATCTATCTATCGATCGATCGCTGGCGGCCGAAGCTATTGTGTGCCGGGTCGCTTCCAGTATGCGTAGAAAAGAATTCGGTGAACGATTATAACAGTTGTAACGGAAGAGAAATCTAGCCAGGTTTCTCCCTCTCACCGAGCGACGGCGGCACTTGCACCAGCAGAATTATTGCTACCGCTGCCGCCGTTGCAGTCCCGCCAATCATCAGTCGAACGCTCAAGCCTTCTTTGAAGCCTGTTGTTTTTTTTTCACCGCGTTGAGCAACGCGAGCACAAAATGCTTGCCCACTGACTTGCTGACTATCCACCCAAATACTGCGCGAAGTACCCTGCTGTGCGACGTGCCGCAGAGCTTACCCGCGAACCTTCTTTTTAGCGTCGACCGGTGAATCACAACCGGTGCTCGTGGTCTGAAGGTGGCGGTAGTATCGGCGGCGATGGCAGCTCGCGGAACGGGGCCGGGATTATTCCGTTTTCGAGCTGCATGAACGGATTCCTCATAGGCTCTCAGCTATGAAAAATAATAACAATAAATAATAATCAAAGATGGGCTCAACGAGTGCTTCGGATAATTTCGCCGATATTCAGTCGAAAGGTCACGCCTGCTGATCTTCGTACTCTCGAGAACACTACATATTTTTGTTGATGATTTCTTCGTCGATCCGATCGTCGTCGACATTACGAGGAGATTCCTGCTGGTGGTGCATGCTTGAGCTGGCTCTTCCCGACTAACAAAGATCACTTTCTTCCTACGATCGGAAGTTTCCGTTAAACGAGGCGAGCAAAAGTAAAATAAGACGCTTCTGTTGTTCCACGTAGATGTTCCCCTTATTCGGTTGGCTGTATTTTCGCTCGGTCGGATGCGGTGGTGTGTGGACCCGCGGCGGAGCTCTTGCTCGGGAAAGGATGATAGCGGCGCGGCAAGTGGTTCTGAATTAACCGTTATTTTCTGATTCCGATTCCGCGACTCCATAGCTTCCGGAGAGGCATCGGGGAAAACGAAACGAAAGATGCTGACACGTTTCGTTCTTGCGGTGTCGATCGGCAAAAGGAGGCCAGTGTCAATGGCCGTTATTCATTTCTAGTCCGGTAGCGCGGACAAGGAATCGTTCTTACCAGGCGCGGATACGCCGAGTTGACTCGCACTTACTCTCCCTATCAGCGAGATTCCGCTGGGAAAAAATTCTGTAGGCAGTCTTACTTCCGGGATGGGAGAAGCGTGTCATCGTCACTCGTATATGGCGCCCTTCTCAGGAGACTCCGTCGTTCTTTGTTGCCCATGTCGCCTGATTATTTCGCGATTTACAATCGACAGAATTCGTCGCGAATCCGCTGCCTGAAACATCCGTGTCCTGAGTAACTCTCTCCACAGATTATCGGTTCGAAAAATGCAACGAGACATTTTTTTCTAATCTCGTGCACGAATTTAGTGAAAGCGTCCGACGTTACTGGGCCATTCCCGACATCAGGAGATGTGCATGAAGATTTGTGATTTGTGTGTTTTCCATGATGTAATTCAGAGCTGGCTGAACTTGGAAATGGGGTTACTACGAGCGGGTTTCTGAAGCACAGCCATAGATCGATGCGCCGACGGGTGGATTTCGGCCGGAAGGGTTGATGAGGTACGTATCTCAAGATGAAGATTCTCCCCAAATTCTCCCTCAGAACGTTTTTTTTTTCTTCTTGGACCGCGTCTTGCCACCAGCTTCAGACCCTCGCCTTCTTTGGGTCACGCGGCTGCTGGAGTCCTGACCGCCGAGCGGCAGAAACGCTGTGTTGAAGCGCTCCGAACGCCGTGTTGAGGCAAGCGAGCGAGTCCGCGGAACCGTTGAACTGTTTTCGTGTTCTAATTGACGGCGGATCTCTGAGCTGATTGAATCATCCCTCGGATCATCGGGTCGATACAGTCGCGAGATTACCCACATCGGTTCGCAACGAAACCCCATTCGCTCAGAGTTCTACCCCCTGACTGCCGGTTGGATAGCTTCGAGGCAAGGTGTCGGGCGGAGCGATTTCGTGCCATAAAGCATGTGCCAATCATAGAGATAATGTGGTGTACGTGAGCTCATGAGTTCTGTTGTTCTTATCGGAGAGCTGGAATAATTCTACGACGGGATAGTGAGTTCAGAGTTGGCGGCTTCGCAATGAACGACTGGAGGGATGTGAGAGATCCTCGGGATCGATTCGATCCTCGTCTCGGCCGCCAGTGGTACAAACGAGACGGGCCGCATCGAGAGTACCGCAACGCGGACCGTGAATTCAACGCACATCCGGCGTCCCGACTCTACCGAGGATATCTGAACCCCGACTACACGGTGAATTCTCTGGGTCACGAGCCGCCGGCGATCAAGGTAAGAAATCGAGGGGAACTGTCATCGAGACATCATGCTTGAATATCAGGAATCGCTCCTCCGTCTGGGCGGCGGCTGACTGTAGGGTTAAAGGTTTCGCTGTCGGTCCTGTCGGCACATTACGGTCGGCACCGTCGTTACTTTCCAACGGATCGAGGAATGCGCATACTTCCCCCCGCGCTCATGATTCGATATTGCTCAGCTCGGAACGCCGGAACGAGTCGCAAAAGTATTTACTTCCTGGCGCTGCGAGGAGACCGGCTTTCAACCATGGCGCTGGAAGACCCGATCGCTCGTCCGCTGTCTGCTGACGGACCGCACTGCTCACAGAATGGAAACGGAAAAACCGAAACTTGCGAACGGAGATCAAGGGGAATCCGAAAATTATTGTCGCCGTCTCCGATCGATGTTTTTCCCCACTGGATATAGGATTCGGTCCGATTTCGTTTTCTGGAGCCGTCGGCTTCACAGCCGATGCCGATGTCCATATGGCTCTTCCTGAGTCTTCCCATGGATAATTAGGCCGGAGTTCGTGAGAGATCCGGCACGAGCGAGGATTCACGAGGCAGAGGCTGCTGGCTTCTCCGAATCCGGAGCACGAGATCTCCGAGTGCCGAGATATCCTTCCGGAACGGATAGACTCTCGATAGTGTCAATGTCTCGATGGTGTAGGGAAAGTAAAAGTGGCTACAAGCAGATGAGCGCTTCAGTGGACTGAGGGCAGGGCTAGGTCTCTCCGAGGAAGGACGTTCTACGAAATAAGTTCTCGAGAGTATTCGAAGCTTTCGCACGCGAAGATAATTCTGGAGCCGACCGACGTTACGTAAGACGTCTGATGGCCCAATCAACGGTCTCGTTCACTGGGTCATCTCGACTGCTCTTCGGCAGCGAAAAGCGCTCTTCTTCTTCTTCCCATGATGTCGCTTCGGCTTCGTTTTTCTGATGAAGGAACATCAAGCAGAATATCCAGCTTTCAACGTCAAGACGATTCCGGCAAAGATGCTTCGGAGCTGGATGAGTCATCGAATTTAGTTCTCCATGTGATTCTTTCCTTGTCCGGTGGCGCTTGACCTGCGGTGGGTCGATCAGTGTCCCCCGACTTTCCGTCGTACGTTCCGAAAGCCTACACGTCCGTGGCCCCTGGAGTCCAGAGAAATATAGTTCTCGATAGCGAAAGCAACCTGAAACTCGTGGGGCGATGGCGGCCACTCCGGTGGCGGAACTAACAATACGAATTGCCGCCGCGCGACAGTGAACTTGACCGCGACGACTTTCGCTTCCCTTCGCCATCAAGCCGTTGACCACAAGCAGACTGTGGGAGGCTCGGGGAGGGAATCGGAACAGTCCCATTGTGAATTTACGCTGACCAGCGACGGTCGACGATGGCGTCAGATCGGTCGGGGCTCGATCGAAGCTTCTATTTTGAATCGTTCGAGTCTCTTCTCGAAGCGCGTTCCCCGTCGACGAAGTGGTGGATATTTTTTTCATCGACCGCCAAGCTAACGACAACCGAAACGAAGCCGAGAATTCTTTGCTCCATTCGGGAAACCTAGCGATAGTCTCGAAGCAATCACCGACGCGAACGATAACTAATCTACGAGTTCCAGGATCATTGTTCCGACGGGCGGCGAGGAATTTCCTTGATGTGGATGACTCATGAGTGGAGATATAAGTGATGAGTTTATTCTGTTTCGACGCCTCGGTCTCGGCCGGAATACGCCTGTTTTTTTCTGACACGGCGACTTTTTTTCTCTCGGTGTCGCTGTCGCCGGACAAGCGTTTGTGAGCACGAAACGTAACAGGTTTTCGTGCTTTCACTGAACTAGTTCTCTCCGCGCGACGGAAAGATGACCGCCCGAATCCGCAACGCCGGGAATCAGGAAACGAGTGGAGCATCTCGTGAGATCTGCCATTAGGGTTGATCAGACAGAAACGCCGTCCGATGGAGATAGACGGACAGACCGATTGGGACGGACGGACAGCTTGCATTTGCAACAGGCAAGCAGGACGACGCAGACAGACGTTTCAGTGGCGGACACAGCCGCCGCACTGGTGGCGGCAAGAGCTGCACCGTTTCCCCGATTCCCCGCCGGCAGGCCGAAGCATTTGGATGACCAGAATGCCAACGGCAAGCCGAGGAGAGGAATTCGCTGATGACTCAGTGAATAATGTCAGTAGTCTACCGCCACGGTGACGATCGGACGCACCGCCGACGACCCCGTGTCAGAGGGAGCAGGGGCTCGGGGCGGCCGATGATCATTTTTCCGGCGAAAGACTCTTCGTGAATCGCACGGTTCTCGCTCCTAGTGCAGAAGGATTGGGCTTCAATAATCCTACGTCACTTTTCCACCGAATCGGGGACGTTGGGCGCGTACGGCTCCTCTGCAGTCGGGTCCGCGGTTGTGGCCATCACATCGATAGCTCGGCGGCGGCGAAGCTCGCCCAATGGATACACGTTAGAACATAGTCGGTGTTTTATTGATTTGGCAACGACGTGACAATGGCTGCTTCCGTCGTCGTGTCCGGGTGTCTGGGGTTACCTGGGTTGTGATAACCCCTAATGTCGGGCTGAGACGCTGTCGGTGCTACCGACGAGACGGCCGACGGTTCGGATGTTTCCAGGTCGCTTTTTCATGTCCAGGACGGCCTACCTTCGACGGACATCCGCAAGGAGTCCGAATCGACTTTCCGGTAGGAATCCATCAATCTCCCATTCGTAGAGGTGACCTCAAGCCCATTTATCTCCTTGCCAGAATCGCTGCAGGGAAAGTCTACCGTCGAAAATCCTCGTCAATGGGGTTCCTCTAGTGTTCCATCGTCTGGCGGCCCCATGGTGTGTGTAGCCGACTTGGCGAAAGTAGAAGAAGATATGATCGATAGAAACGCTCACGACACAACGATTCGTTGCACGTATGTCACTTAGCGTGGCGAGTCTGTTGACTGCTTCGTTCGTAACTCGGTTAAGCGGTGACGATTTCCGGCTGCTCCCGTGGCACCGTTCCGAGGCAATAGCCGAAAAACGGCGACCTATCTTGGTGGATTTTCTGGTGTCACGGCCGGCTCCGCTTGAACGTCTCGTCGTCGCAAATCAAAGCCTCACTGGGGAGTCCCATAGAGGGAAACTCGACAGTGGTCGAATCTAGCTCCAGAGGGTCCGGGGAATAAGTTCCCGAATAGAATAGTTTGCTTGAATGTACCCGAAGAAAGGGGGACGAGGATTGCTTGAGGCCTGAGATAGACTGACTTCTACCGAGGAGATACTTCTGATGTGGAAACTTCAAAAGGAAACCGACACGAAACTTGTTTCGTCACAGACTAGATCCGCCAAAATAGCTTGGGTGTGCTCCAATGCAATACGCTGCGGTTTTATTTTCGAACTTCTCAAGCTGATTGTGAGTCGAAGTCTGACGCTGGACACACGTTTGACGTTTTGCTGTGGAAACGACTGGTCGATCGGCTGACTGACTGACCAAGCAAGCGAGCGGCCAAATGGCCGAAACAAAAAGAAACGCTTCAGATTTCCATTCAGTCAGTCGAATGGGCAGGCTGACAGTCAGGAAAGCAAGCAAGCGAGCGGGCGGGCAGGCTACATCCGAACTTTGACGACCAAAAGCATTTATCCGCGTTATGATTGCGGCCAAAGTGTGTCAAACGGCTTCACACTCGAAACTTTCGGTTTTCTTCATTGCTCGTCTTCAAAGTTGACCCAACGCTCGGGACAATATATTTCTCCCACAAAGACGATGATTGCATTTCTGTTCGCTGTCCACCGTCTTTTCTCGATCAGCCCAGGTGTTGCTCTCAGACTCTGAAGTCTTCGACACTCGAGCTCGACCGCTGCAATCGCTCGCTGACCAAATGGTGTTGTGAATACGTGACGTCGATTAATGGACACGGATGTTCGCTTGTCGCTACGAGTTTATCCAAGGGTCACCGGAACCCTGAATCCATCGCTCAAGCCGGTAATGACGTCCGCATCGGGTATGACGTATGACTCAACAAGGAATCGCGCTCGGAGCGCACCTCACACCCATGGCAGCTTTGCATCCTGGCATTGAGCTCCGCTCATTCCGAATATCTTCCTCTTGTTCTTACCAGTACGATTGACAATGAGGAAGTTGTGGAGGAGATCCTGGGCTATTGGCTGTGGATGAGAGCTTTCCCTCCTAGAATTATTGCTTTCTTCATAGCCTGCGGTACCCCACAAGGCATGCACTGCTCGCTGTAAGGCTTAGGCTGGGGTGCTACTTGGGTAGGATTTCCGGGGAATGTGACATTCTCTCGAGGATCATTCGCCTGTACAACGACCCGGAAAATCGGGCAGGGGCAGATACTCCATGGTGGTTGAGTTCTCTTACTAGCCGTCGACGGACAGCCATCGATTTATTCTGATTTATATGCTCTGAATGTCTCCGACGTTGGTCTTCTAGCCTCTGCTGACAGGTCTGCGTTCTCCGAAAGCATCCACTTATCCCGAGAAGGGTTGGACCAATGGCTGATTTACCTGAAGCTTTGACGAGCAAAGGAAAAACGCTTTTTCTCAAATGACTCCCTGACTCCGTTCTTTCGGGTTTTCTGTGGATTTGAGTCAGATCCTCACTTTTCAAGTGTCAGCTTGAGCAGCGAAAGTTTCACCGCCCACAATCGCGGTTCAATCGTGAGCTGGAATTCGGAAATGCATTTCGGAAAACGGGGCACCTGTGATGCAAATTCTACTCCCACTCTCACAAGTCAGCACAAATATTCGTAATAAGCGCCAGGGAGCTCGACGCCCCGAAGTGATCTTGGTAAGGCGTGTCAGAAAAAGCGAAGGATTTCCGAGACTGGGTGAGTGGGGCAGAATGGAGCGGGATATGGCCTCTGCCACGAGGGCACCCAGGATGAGATTCTATGGACCGGCTCCGATCACTGCATGACCAGGATGATTCGCAGGAACTTGAGCCCTGCAGACCTCATCGAGAAACTCTACTATGCAGCGACTATCATTCGCTCAGCCGGAT